GTGGAGTTACTACGGCAACTGGATCGAAATGAAAAATCGATCCAAACTATTCCTGATATTGTTTTAAATTGTGTCCGGCAAATCGTCGACGAAAGGGGTCTTGCTGCTGGCAACATCACGCAGGCGTTCTTTGAAAGCACCCTCTCCCAAGCCATCGCAGCGGTTGTGCAACAAGCTCAACCTTCTAATCCATCCCCATCATCAACCGACGAAGTCGATCTGAACTGCTCTGTCTTTTTATGGGGTGGTCGGTTGCACATGCTTCCAGAAAATTTCAAATTTCCAAGTGTCGATTTGGCAACTGCATGGAATTTATGGTGGCGCGGCAACCCTGCACAGAAGATCATTCCGTTTCGTAAAATATCTGCCCGCGATTTATCGCTGTTGTCCGAACGCAAAGAGTATTACGAATGGAAGTATATTATGGAGCGAATGTCAACGTTCTACACAGCCAAGAATGGCTCACCTCCATCCCCTTCGGCCACTGCGCTGGAATTGACCGCGTCGTTTGCCGTTGCAAACGGCCTTTTGGACCCTATACGTTCAAGCACGTCAAAGAAACGTACTCGAAGGGACGGACAACTACGTGTTTCGACGGCCGCCAGACTTGTCCGGCAAATGGAGCCGACTGCCCACCCTCGGCCCTACCGCAAAAGGAACAAGCGACCTACAGAGACCTAGAAAGCAGCGTCATAAAGCAGATTAGAACGTGTCGTTGGGGCATGGATTGAGTTGATGTGTTGTGCGTACCTTGTGCGCAATGTGAGTTCGCTCGGAGTCTTGCAGTATCGGCAATGCACATGCTCATAAACGAGTTCGTGAGAAGGCCAATACTTGGGCATGCATGAGTAGATTACCTGAATGTAGCTCGCGTATATAGCCTGTGCATACTACGGAGACTGGCGGGGCCAAGACACGCTGAGCTGCGAAGTTGTTTCTTCGTCAGCGTGGAAGTTGGAATGACACGTGTGACCACATTTCACGAATTGAATTAATCAAACTAGCATAAAGCTCTCATTGGACAAAACAAATTCCGCCGATATCGATTCCTACGAATTCCAATCACAATACATAAAAATTGCTACCTCTGACTGGTAAAAAGTACAGGCGAACATACCAGGGTATACAAATTCTGAAGTACAACGAATCTGTATTTAAAACGTTTTACATTGACCAGGTCGGCAAGATGATCCATGCGATCCTCTTCGTCAAACCGCGCATTCAGCAACTCCATTGCATCAACATCCACCTGCGTTGCCTTGCTTCGAGATAACTTTTACGTGTTGTCACCTTTGATGTGAATGATCAAATGCATCACACGCTTCCAGGTAAGGAACGTCCTGTCCAATGTTTCTTGAGGCAATGACTTGAACGAATCTTAAACTGCGTGGATGACTTCCGCCATTGATCGGCACTCCGAGTGACTGAGTAGAGCTGAAAACCCAAGGTCGAGCACATTCAGGTCCGGCGACTGGAGAGGCTGGCATGTCAACTTGATCTTCCAACCACCAGAAGCGACGGCAGCGGCAAAACCAGCGTCGTCAACGGAAATGTGCGACCGGGCATTGTCTTGCTGTACGTATATTGTGTCGTCCGTGTCATTATTTGCCCAAACCCAGTGCTTTTTGATCGCATGAAGCACGGGCTGAACAAGGTAGTCGCGGTACACGGGCTTTGTCACGGTCACGGTCGACAAAATCGGAGTCCCAGCAGGACGTTTCCTGCTCTGACGCTGAGCAAGAGTTGTAGCGACCAGAGGCCAGCA